AGATTATCACTTTCTTTTGCTCTTAGTAAAGAAAGGAGATATGAAGGGAAAAGCTTTGACAGGCTGACAAAGTTTATCTAACTTGTATACAGGTTGGTGCAACAAGTCGCAATTGGGCATGTTTATCGCAGCTAGGTGATGTCAGGCTCGCAATCGCGAGACTCCTTGTTTTTTGGTTATGAATAATATATGTATTGTTCGAGAGAGCTTAGCTCTCACCTAAAATATAGTTCCAATAAATTAAGCACTGGCAAAACTGTCAAAGATTTAAAAAAAAAATAATAATAATAATAATAATAATAATTGTATTATAGTTACTGACCCAAACCTAGTATCTTATAATAAAATTCCAACTCTATATATCAAATTTAACTTTAGTACTTCATATAGATTATGAATTAGGTTTGTTATGCCCTTGTTATAAGATGAAAATAATTTAGCTCTGTATTAAAAATAAATAAAATATTAAATATAAAATAAAAATATAAATGTGAATAAAAATAAAAATTAGCAAACCTTTGTTTTTTAATAATTAATTCTTTTGACTTTAAATAATCAAATTTGAATAAATAAAATTATAATATTTTAAAAATTAAATATTTTGCTGCTTCGAAATTTGCAGTATAAAAATTTTGATTTATTTTTTATTTAAGAACAATTAAAATTTAATTCTAAAATCTAATTCTAAAATCTAAAAAGTGATTTATTTATACAAAAAAAAAATGTAGAATATAAAATATAAAGTAGTTTAAAGAATAAACTATACAATCTGAATATTTATCAGCTTATTTTTAACAGAATAATTATTGTGAATATAATTAAGTCGATAGTTTTTATAATTCATTATTTCTATAATTACACATGTATCTTGATTTGAATTACTACCATCTTTAAATGTTTGGTGAAAAAAAAAAGATGATTGCTGATAATTTTTTTTTTCAATAGCAAAACAAGAGAATGAACTTAGTTCAAATTTTTTATGTATTTTTATAAACTCTGGAATATAATAAACCAATATATAAATGTATAGTGTAATATCAGATGGCTAATATAAGCCTTCCTCTATAATAATATTTGAATTATTAGGATTAGTAATATCCGGTTGAAGAAAATATATTTCTCACTCTTTAGTATCCAAAGCAAATTATAAAAAATTAGTGTTTGGATTTTTAATAGCTTGATATAATTGATCAAATTTATCCCATAATATTCTAATTTTTTTAGCCTGATCTGTTGATAATATTGCTGACAAATTAAAATTTCGTAATACTTTAAGCTTATTCAAGCCATCAAGTGGACTAGATTGCTATTTGTTTATATTTTGATCTTTTCAATATTGAAATTCAACTTTATATTTTTTCATTTCATTACAAATAGTTTTGCACATATCATTATTGAATTTTCTATTTTGTTCTAATTCAGAAATTAACAAAGACCATAGTCGATTAGTTATTCTTAGCATGATATAAAGCTTATCTAAACCCATTGATTTAATAGTATTATTAAAAATAGTGGAGCTCGAATATATTCAGAATAAACTAAATAATTAAATGCAATTAAATTTATATCTTTTTCAATTGTCTATGATTGTTTTTTTAGATTGCCAAAATCTGTTTTTTTATATTGACACCAAGGACAAAAATTAATGGAATTTGCTATATTAATACCTAAACACAATGCCAAAAATTTCCAATTTGAAGAAAAGTATAAATTAATATTTCAATTAATTCTATTATTATTAACAAATCTAGTTTTTTGCAACTTATTTAATTCTGTAACAAAGTGGCTGTGTTGCATTTTTTAATAACTCATAGTTTTCAATGCCCGGATATACAATTATAGTATAATGATTGTTTGGTAAATATAACATTTCTTTACTATCCAAAATAGCAAAGGTTATTATTATATGTTTAACCTTTTTACCAATATTATGACCATCATCTGAAATTCGTATATTAATAACAGATTGTGAAGGATAAAGAATTCTAGTATCGATCAAATAAGAAAGTATATATAGAAGTATATTTTTAATATTTCATTGTGCAACTTTTTCAACATATTGTAATCTTTCATTTATTAAAAAATCATCTTGATTAAAAAGATTAAATATATTAATTGATATAAAACTTGCCATTGTTGATATTAAAGCTATATGCTGATTAGATACTGCATAATCACAGGATAGTTCTGGCTTAATAGCTAATAAAGCACGATATCCATCTCATAGTATTTGATACTTGTTAATTATTTGTACTGTTTCTAGTTCATACTTTCTTTTTTCTATAATATTTTGAGCTCCAAATTTTATATAAAAAGGTGTGCTTTCAACTGTATAAGACAGTTCTTTAAGATTAATTGATTACTAGAATGATAATTTTCTTTAGCAATTTGATTAAAATTTTCTTTGATATTTTTTGCAAAAGTTTTTGTATAAGATTTTTTAGTAAAAAAGCTTATTTCATTAAAACATTTTAAAGATTTAATATAGAGTCTATTCAGATTTCATTAATTAACTCTTTTCAACGATCACTCGGTTTAAAATTTCTATGGAAGAAAAACACAAATTTTGTTGGAGAGTCGTGGCCTAACGTAGTGGTTTGTCTAGAGGTCAACGGTGCTGCGGGACTCCTCTATAGGTGACATTCGGCATGCAAGCCAAGAGCGTTATTATACAAAATAACTAGCAGGAGGTGCTCTTGTATAAAAAATCATTGGAGAAGAGGACTCTTTGGACACCTCTCTTTTTCTGTTGACGAAGCTCTTAGGTTGTTACTTCAAAGAAGAACACAAGGGAACAACAAAACACTCTGTTACTTTCTTCAAGCCGCACTCCTTTTACTTGGTCAAGTGGTACCTTTTTACTCTCTCTCATCCTTTTGTCGGTCTTCTAAAAAAATTTCAACAAAAAGTGGAGATTTGGCTTACCCCCTCAAAAAATCGGCATTGTTTACTTTCCAAATTCGGACGAACTAGCGGAATGCAACCACATGTTTGTTTATAGACAAATATGTCACTTTTTCATGGGACTTAGCCTGGGAACTCTAATTATGGCAGCAGGTAGCTTGAGACATGGGTCCTTAGACAATGGCAGCTCCTGGCTCGAGATACGAATTAAAACAAGCAACGAAGCCATCCGGAGTTGGTGGGAAGATTAAAAAGTAATTTTAACGTTAAGGCATAGCTTTACAGTAGAGATATACAAATGTTGTATTTGTTATATAATTTTTAGCAGCCATGCACAAGCTATAATAGTGCCTTTAGAGTTTTAGATTTCTTTTTATGTTTTTTCTTTTTCGCAATCAGTATTTTTTTTTTCTTTTCTGTTTTTTTTTCTTTTCTAGTTGTTTTCGTTACTGTTTGTTTGAAAATTTCTCCCTTTTGTTTCGTGTCTAGTGATACCACCGAAATTGATTTTCAAAAAAGGCCTATTTCGTCTCCATTAGAGCAAATTAAAATTTTTTATAAGAAAGAGCAAATAAAATTTATATATTTATACTCCTTATAATTTCGTCTATTCAAAAAAAGTGTCAAAAAATTTCGTCTTTTAAATAAAATAGGTCAAAAACAATTTCGTCTTTAAATTTTAATTTTGAGTTTTAGACCCTGAAATAATTTTGTTGGCATGTATACTTGTGCCTCTTGAAAAGAAGAAAGAATTAGAAGAGAAAAAAGAAATCCTGACGCAGTATACAACATCCGGTCAAATGATTGAAGGGGTATCCTTTGTTGATATGAAATCCGAAGCAAGTTTTGGATCCCTTTGTGAGACTAATAGTTGTTTTAGCAGGTCGCATTGGGCAGTACTTAGTACGCTTGGTGAGTTTCTATTAGAATAGAGCATTACACTATATCGGTGGTTACTTATATAATAATCGTATAGTAAGTTCATAAAATAAATAGAAGCAGGATTGCTTAAATTCAAAAAAAATATATGGTCTATTTTTTTGAACTTGTTTAAGATGAAAACCAAAAAGTAAAGAATCCAATATTCGACTTTCTTTTAACTCTCTATTTAATTCATTTATTGCCTAATAATAATTTTATAATTTTTATAAATATTTTTACATATTATTATAACTAAAATACAATAAAATTATTAACCTCTTGAGCTTTCATAGCTGTATCACTAGAAGAGTAATTTGATACTACCTTTAGCTTAAAATTTGAACCATACTTTACATAATAAACTGGACGATTATTTACATATTTGATAAAACCTTTAATAGTAAACTTGATAGTTTGCTTCATATTGTAATAATACTAAAATTATTAGGAATAGCATAACGATTTGGTGCTTTTGTATATTTAAGATTTGAAATAGCAAGAAAAACACCATTGTTATATATTGTATACCAAAAGGTGTAATCTTTATTTTTATATGTTATAGGATTATTGTGGTATTCTTTATGTTTCAATAAACGATTAGACATCTTTATTATAGTTTATATATAGAGTATATGTTTCAAAACAAAGAATTTATTCGTAATAACAAAGTTTGAATACAACTTCTTAAAAAGTGTGCTTTTGAACTTAGAAATATTTGTTTCATGTATAATACTATAAAAAAAAAGCAGTATTATCTAGGCTAGCCAATGGACCAAAATGTGGTTTGGCAAATGCTAATAGATCACATTATTACTACTAGTAAAATGCTGATAAAAGCATTTTTAATGTCATATATTATTAGATGTCAAATGACTGACTGTTTATTTAGCAAAAAATTCTATTGGATAATCTAAATATCAAATGACTGACTGTTTATCATTAACCCTTAAAATTTTAGGGTATAAACAAAATCAGCCGATATGTGCTAATTTTAGTATAAAGAATTGTATAAAGTTCAAAAACCTTCAAATTTTTAAGAAAAAAACAGACAAAGAAACTAATGAAATACATAATTTTAGTATATAGAAATTTGACAAAGAAAACCATATTTACTAAATTAGTATTACTATAATTATTTATCTTTTTAAAAAGAAGATTTAAAAGAAAGATTTTAGCAAAAATAAAAATAATATATTTTATAATATATTGTCTATTTTAAATTACCTATAATCAAAACATGTAGGGTTGGGATCCTGTGGCCTAGTGGTCTAGGCACCCAACTTTCTACAAGCAGATTTTAGTTCAAGTCCTAGCACATTAGCAAAATATATAACCATAATCTTACGTAAGTTATTATGGCCTGAAAACTTGCACAAGTATTATGGATCGATGTGGCATATTTCGTAATACCTTATTATGGAATATTATACAGTTTATTATGCAATTTATTTCGAAATATTTCGAAATAATTTTAAAATAGAGATTTTTAAAACAGCACCATGGTGCACCCCTATATCACATAGTCATAATTGATATATGGTATAAATATTACATTTTTTTAATTTATTAAAAATAACTAAATACGTACTAAAATAAAAAATTTATTTATATCATAACGAACATTTTATCATAACGAAATTTTTATTATCATAGCAAATGTAACAAATAGTTTTAAACATCAACTAATATATAATCTATCCTATTTAACAATCTAACCCTAACTATTCTAACCAAATGACATTGCAAACACATTCAACAAAACATCAAAACGTCATCAACACGGTCCCAGAAAGATACCACCAGGATACAAACTACAGAATCACAATAATAACGCATTACAATTCCAACAAAGTATGCAAAATTTTCAAAAAGCAAATGTATTCATCAAAAAACAGTGCCACAAATCCACGATATATAAAACTACCACTGACAACACTAGCATAACAAGCAAGGCAAGAAAAAAAACCAACTTGAAAATTGACCCAGAACATCATATGCTTCAAGAAAGTTCAGAAATGTCTAGGAACAAAAAAAAACTCAAAGTACTACACAAAAAATACAAATGAGGTTATAAACAAAAAATGACGAAATGAAAAAAAAAAAAAAAACAAAATGCACATCTAAAGCAGAATTCAATACCAATAACAAATATCGAAAGAAAAGGTGCTGAAATAGACGAAACCAATGAAGAAAAACAACTAACCAAACACAAGCGAACACTAACAAAAAAGCCTGAAATGAAGTTAAAGAAAAATAAATACAGTATTGTTAGTACAAGAACTAAACTGTATAAAACAAACAAATATACATAGACACTCTATGATGAACAAAAGCGATTCCAGTGAATCGCAACACCAACAACACCAATGATGCAAGAAACCAGCCTCTGGTGAAAGAGAAACACTATACTTAACAATACCAACGATGAAAAAAAAACACCGAACAGGACAACGCCAATAACGCAAGAAACCAACGACACAAGGCATCAACTAGCGAAAGAAGCAACAACTAGACAACACCAACAATGCATACCAGCCAACAAAAGAAGAGCTGAACGGATGATACCAACAATAAATCTACTATCTATAAAAAAAAAATAAATACAGAAATATTAAATATACTGTATAAAAAAATAAAAGCAAAAAAAAAAAATCAAATAACTTATCTTTTTATATCAGCTTTATATAACCAGTAATGATCATTGCTAGTATTGTATAATATCGATATACGTAATTTAAAATTAGGTGGAAAAATATGATCATTTGCTAGAAAAAAATTTAGAAGGCCTATCGGTGTTGGCACAAGTTGGGTTCTTGATATTTTCAAAAATATGGTTGTGTTGAAAAACTTCTATCGCTTTCAAAAAAACCACATTATAATGATATAAATTAACTTAAAATTTTAATAAAAGAAAAACTTGACTGGTACTTGTTTGAATTATAATCTGATATTGGGATGTAACATTAGTCTTACAATTTGAAGGGCTATACACCGACTTGGATATGCACAAAAAGATAATATTTCATATATTTATACATATTTCCAATTTTATAAAAGGCTCTTTTGTATTAATAGCTTCTTCTTTTATATTATTAGTATCCAATTTAGGATCTTTTTTACTATTAATTTCTGAATCGGTTGCGATCACTTTAGACAAGTCAGATAATTCAAAAGTATTTGTTATAGATAATAAAAATTCTAGAGAACCTTTAATTTTTAGATTTACTGATTTTGTTGATCATAATTTTTAATACATTTTTAACAAATATTAATTAAGTCTTGATTTTTTGAAATCTCGACTTTAGTCCAATTAACAAATTCTTAATCATATCTAACTTTTTTAATATTAGCACCTATTTGTATAATTTATTTATTATATAGAAGCTAATTTGATATCCGGAGCCTTTTTATATTTCTTGTTAAGTTTTAATGGTTGACAAGAACCATCTTTCCCATAAACTTTCACATACACCAAGCATATTGGGCAAGCATTCAAACGAAATTTTAATAATATAGATACATACATACGTGTTGCTGATAAGTGTAAGAGAATTTATATCTTAATTATCAATTGATATTAATTTTATAGACATTTTGATTTCTTGTTAGAACCAAAGGTTATTGTACTAGCTAAAACTTTATCAAATATTATAGCAATTCCATTTGCTAACATTATTGTCAAAGTGTTAAAATTGTTATTTAAAACTTTTAGTAGCTTCTGTAAATATTTATTATCTAACGATGTAATTTAATTTATGATATAGATATTGTATTAATATTACAGTAAATAAAAATTGAACAAATTAAAATTATATTTTTTTATATACTAATCATGCTGAAAAAATAACTTGAAAAATAATACTAAATTCAAAATCTGGGTTGGCAGGTCATGGGTGATATGAAAACCAAAAATATAACTTATTTGTGGAGGTTGGTGAACATGAAGAGAGGTTACTATTTGAACTATTGGATGATCTTGGAGATGGTGGTTTAACCGAAAACAAAGGATCAATATTATTAATCAAACATCTTTTCATTGGAGAACGTAGTGAAAGACTATTATGAAATGAACGTGGTTGAAAATTATGATACAGTGGTACAGTCAAAAGTGAAGATAAACTATTTGACGAATTTATTTTTGTTGGGGTTGGTAGACCTGATAAATGATTATTATTAATAAGTCCTTGAATTAAGCCAACTATCTAATAAAATCATAAAGCTACATTTTAGGTTAGAACGTGAAGGGGCTGATAACAATAATAAACTATTATAACTTTTACTAGCCTTAATGCATATATACAAACTATTTTGAAATTTTTTACTTAATATAAAAAAGCCATAATATTATGTAAGAAATTTTGAAATATTCTGAACTATCTTACATAATATTTTGTAAATTGATATTTCACAATATTTCAAAATTTCTTATATAATATTATAGCTTTTTTATTACAAAATATTATAGTCTTATAAATTTGCTGATGTAGGTACATTTATCTACGAATATTTGGAAGTATCTGCTGTAAAAAGTCCAAGTAAATACAGGTTTAGATTAGAAATTTCCAGAAAGAGATCCATTGTAGAGTAGTTGGCACTATATGTAATGTTGGTTGTTATAGAAGGTTCTATTATACAAAGGTTGTGTATATAAATCTGTGATTGGAAAGGTAGTACCAACAACCTCTAAGGCGGCATTGGGGATTTTGTTTGGAAAGATAACTGGGTAGTAACCAGAATTGGAAGTAGTAAGAAATGTGGTAAACACAAAAGGACCTGTGATAAAGAATTGGCCTTATCAGATTTGGAACACCTCTAGCAGTACAAAACTCACTGGCCAATAAGAAGTTGAAGCATAGAGGCATGTATGTGTTGATAAATTTAATAGGCTCTGGTTGTATCTATATAGAAGCCTTTGGGTATTAAGAGAACTTGAGAACACCAATAAGATATAGCTGGTATAAGTGCATATAGTGGTAATTAGGAGGTACAACTGCTAAGAATCTCTTTAAAAAAAACAATAACGCATCTGTTATCTCTAAGCTTCATAATGCTATCCAACTATATTAACTACTAAAAGTATTTTGTGAAATATATCTGGGGACTCATCACTATATTGGGAAATATAGCCATTAGCATAATTACCAAAATTAATATGTTTAGACCTGGGTTCCAAAGTCATAAAAAACCAGCTAGTTATGGCTTGAAATACTTACCCAATTGGGTAGAGACAGCTGCATGACTTGAGATACGAACTTCTAGAAGTACACTAGTAGAGACTAAGAAAGTAATTTTCTGTCAAACACACCAAATCGGAAGCAACAAGCATCTATCTAGAGCTACACACACTGATTTGGAAGTTGAAAGAGTAGGTAATGTAAATAATATGATGGACATGTGAATACTAATTACTGATTAGAGAGTGA